TATATATATATATATATATATATATATATATATATCTGATACATGTACAAGTGTGCGGTGCCTCTGTGTGTGTAGTTGCATGCACTTGTAATTCAACATGGCATGCGTGCGTGTATATATGTGCACGCATGCGTGGATTCACGTGGGAGAGCATTCCATGCACCTTGGGGGGTGGATGGCTGCGCCTCAATGGGGACACCCACGTTCCTCAGCGCCTGTAATATCAACAGCAGCAGAGGTTGCGGAGTCAGCAGCAACAGCAGAAGAGAGCGTGTTGTATTTTGTTGCAGGTTGAGGCAAGATACGCGGAGGGTGATTTGTTTTCCTGCGCGCTGCCATTGGAGGAGGTAGCAGCTGCAGCCGCAGCAGCCGGATCAGCAACAAAATCACCATCCCATGACCCGTACGCACTGGACACCAGCATAGAGAGACCAGTGGTGTGTTCTGTCTGTTTCGCCTCAAAGGAGGGATGCCTTTTGGTCGGTCTTATGGATAGGAGCGTCGCTGCGTTGCAGCTGAAGGTATGTGGCGATAACTGGGGTGTGTGCACATGCGAATACAGCTTGCCGTCGCCAGCTCACAGTTGCTAGGTAACCGAAGCTGTGTTAGACGGTCAGTCAGGCGGCGCCGATGCACTGCGCGGCTTTATCGGGCAGACTGCAGCAGCAAACAGGAACATATCGCACTGGGAACGGGGAAGCAACAGTGACAGAATGGTGTGTGTTGGTACAGGGGCTGTTAGTAGTACACTCTTCAGCTGCTGCTTCGGTGCTGCTGCTGCGCCTTTCAGGTGAACGAAAATGGCATTAAGGGAGCTACATTGCTAGGCGGGATGAAGCTGCCAGCTGGGCCATTTGATGCTCGTGCTGCTGCAGCTGTGGACTCAACCACTGGTGCGCCAGCACAAGAGCAGCGGCAGCAGGCAGCAGCAAATGCGAACCCCTTTTTCTCTTACCTGGGAACAAGCATCATTTTTAGCCATCAAGAGTATCACCGACGGCAAGAGGAGCAGCAGCAGCAACGGGAGGGTGCAGGAGATGTGTTTCAGCTGCTGGTGGTGTACGGCCGAGGCTCCAACGGGGCTGCGGACTCTGTTCCGTATTTAGTAGTTTGTTTGAAGGGTTCATTTTATGTGCAGATGTTCCCTCTCCGCATCCGTGAGTTGTTGGTGCAGCAGCAGCAGCAGCACCGCCAACCACCCCTGCTCGGACCCTGCCAGCAGACGCTGTGTTTCGGCTCTCCTGAGGACATCGCCTCTGCCGTCAGCAGCAGCAGCAATGACACCAACTGTAGCATTAGCGGCAACGGCAACAGCAGCAGCAACAGTGGGCGTGAGTTCCGCGCGTGGCCCACGACGGACTTCACGCAGCGCTTTCTGGTGGTTGGCGTTTCAGTGAAAAGGTCGAATGGCTGTCGTTCTTACCTGTGCGTCTTCGACACTCACCAGCAGCAGCAGCAGCAGCAAGTGTTGCCTCTGCCCTGTGTGCTGCTGATACGTCTGCCCATACCCCTTGTCCGTCTGGGCGCTGCTGTCCTTACGGGGGCGCCAGCAGCAGAAGGCCAGCGAGTGGAGTCCTTAGGAGGGGAGGCAGCGCTGTATTGCTACTGCGTGTTCGTAGCAGACCAGGACAGACAGCCGCTGCAGCAACAGCAGCAACAGCTCCAGCCACAGTTGCAGCAGAGGCCAGACCTGCTCCGGGTGCACTACGTCGAGTGCACGAAACTCGCAGCCGCAGATGGGAACTTACAGTGGCGCTTGCTGCGTCCTCCATCATATGCTGCTGCTGCAGCACCAAGAGGAGCCGCGGAAACCACTGCAGTAACTGCACCGGAACTTGAGGCAACAGGAGACGAATCACCGGACTCACCTATTGGTGCTTCAGCTGCTGCTTCTGCTGCTTCTGAATTAGGGAGCAGCAACAGCAACAGCTCACCAGGTCAACAGGTGGCCCCACTGGGAGATCCCCTGGAAGGTGTTGGCATTGCTGGCACCGAAGAAGAGAGAAGAACACGTTCGCGGTCAACAGAAGCTCCAGAAGCTTCTGCCTCTCCAGCAGCTGACCCTGCAATTGTTATTGCTCTCTCTGGCCCTCCTGGAGCAACAGCAACAGCGACACCCGCAACGGCAACAGCACCAGGGGGGGCGGCAACAGAAAAGAGCCCCGCGCCATCGAGTGACCTGCTGAAGTTACTACTAAAAGGTAGCAAGGGAACAAACGGCAGCAGCAAGAACAGTGGAAGCAGTAACACCGGAGATTCTGCTACTGTTCCTGCTTATGCTTCCGAGCCAAGCAGCGCGAGACGTGCTCCTTCGCCCGCAGCGGCAGGTTTGCCAGCTGCCGCTGCCAGTAGCATTGACAATATGAGCCCCCGAAGGAGACCAGATGAGGCGTCACCTACTGCCCCGCCCGTGTCTGCTGAGGGGGAAGATACAGGGAACCAAGTAGCAACACGTACTGCTACTGATGCAATGGCGGCAGCAACAAAGGCTACGCAGATGTTTGCGCAAATGCTAATTCAACAGGGGGGACGTAAAAAAGGGAAACAACAACAGCAACAGCAGCAGCAACAGCAGCCACAACAGCAGCAGCAACAGCAACAGCAACAACAGCAGCAACAGCAACAACAGCAGCAACAGCAACAACAGCAACAACAGCAACAGCAGTCTTCGGGACCCGCACCCTCGTCCTCCAGCACGCCAGCGGAGTCCATGCCAGCGGTCTCCTCGCCAAGAGGGAGTGCAAAAGGGGCTATTCGTTTAGGGACTTCAAAGGTGAACAGCAGCAGCAGCAAGGAAACAACAGCAGCAAAAGCTCATCTTATGCGACTAGCATATACGTGCTGCGCTGGTGTGTCTAGTTGGACCCGTTTGTTCTCTTTTGTTGCGTTTGTGTGCAATTGCTGCTTCTACAGTCTCCAAAAGACAAGAGAGTATGGAAACCAAAGGAAACACGTAGGCGAGGCTGACTGTGCTGTTATGGCCCCTACTGCTGCTGTTTCTCCTTCCCCTGTCAGTGCTGCGTGGCTGTTTGCTCTTGTTTCCACCTAGTTCTCATGCGATGCTGTGTTTTGCGACTGCAGCAATAGCAGCAGGCGTGGACTCAGAGGGTGCTGCTGTGCAGAGCGCGGGCAGCCCACTGACCTATGAAGCCGTTGAATCCCTCTTTTCAAAGGCCATGGAAGGCCTCCTACAAAGATTCTCTGTATGCTATATATTTTGTCACTATTACTACTGCTCGTGTTACAGCTTGCACTGCTACTTCTGCTGGCATTGGGAGCCGCATCGCCGTTCGCGCTGCTTCCCACGCACTCAGTGCTGCTGCTGCAGTTCTTGTTGCTCTCATGCTTGTTGCATCTGTTGCTACTATTCCGGCGATGTGTACACCAGATGTTACTGTATTTTCCTGTGAGATGACGTCGGTTAGCCTTCTGCTACTGCATGCTGAAACCGTTGGATGAATCTGCCGTTGTTGCGATGCATCTTGCTGTGGTTGTTTCGCAGGAGAGTAAGACAATGACGATGGGGTCACAATCCGAGCAGCAGCAACAACGGATGGAGTCTTCTGTAGCAGCAGAGGTCCACCGACTCATCTCCACCCAGCTCAAGGGCGCCGTCCGCGAGGCAGTCGAAGAAGCTACAGCCACAGCTGTAGGGGCAGCGTTGTTGGCATTTGTTGCTATAAATCTTGCCTAGTGGTTTAGAATGTTTAACGCTTCCTCACAAGTTTGTTGTTGCATGAGCAGATAGGTGCACGTGCATCTGCATTGGTGTTCCTTTCCATCTGTCCCCGTCGGATGGAGTCTACAAAGTGCCAAGAGCAGCGTGACACTGCCAAAGAAACTCCTTCGGTTTATGTTGCTGTTGCTGCTGCAGCCGTGTTGTTCCTACTGCTAGTGTTGCCTCTTGATGCTGCTTTGGTTTCTTCTTGTGCGCGTTCGGTTGTTGTTGTTTTATTGTTGGGATTATTGCGGTTATGGGAGGATATGTTTCTGCTAACTGTCGACTGCAGGGTCGTCCCAGCGCAAGTTCTCTGTTTGTGTGGGGACTAATTTTGTTGTATGTTTGTTCTTCGTGACAGCGTGCTGCGTGGTTTGTTGCTCTGTGCAGCGGCCTTCTGCCCGAGAGGAGTCATCGGCTGCCGCGCAACAGTTCACGCTTGTGAAGCGGCTGGAGGAAATCAAAGGTGAGCTGTTTTTTGAGCTTGAGGAGCAACTGCGCAAGCAAGTGAAACCCATCACTAATGCCATAGACAGCCAGCGGCGCCAGCTCCAGCAGCAGCTCCAGCAGCAGCTCCAGCAGCAGCTCCAGCAGCAGCTCCAGCAGTTGGTGCTTCCCCTGCAGCAGCAGCTTCAGAAGATTAACAACCAACTACAGCAACAAAACCAGCAGCAACAACAACAGCTGCGGCTACTGCAGATGCAACAGCAGCAGCGCCAACCGCCTGCAGATCAGCCCTTAAGCACTAAGTTGAAGGAGACAGTTGAAAAATTGTTTAAGACTCAGGAAGGATTTTTGGTAAAGGTGAGACACTACCACGGAGTTTGCGTCGCTTCTTCATTCATCCCGTTGGGTTTCCTTTGGCTTGATTTCTTTTGTGTTTCATGTTTCCCCGACGGCTCTGTTGCCTGTGGCCTGTGGATTTGTCACCCGTTGTTTGCCAGGCGTGTCTTGCTGCTTCTTTTGTTGCTCGTTGCATTTTTCACTATGTACGCTTTGCTGTAGACGACGTCAACCCCCGTCTCTGTCATTTTGCCTTTCAGTGTCTGGTTTTCAGACGATGTGCTGTCTTTGTGGAGTCGTCGTCCGTGCTCAAAGAGTGGAACTGCATTTGTTTGCTAGTGTGAACATTTACTTCGCCAGACAGCTGTTGCTGAGAGTCTAGTATTTGGGGTGTATGGTTTGGGGATTCGGATTAGTCGGCGTATGTACAGAACTTCGATACGGTAGAGAAGGGGCTGGCAGCTCTGCGTTTCCAGCTGAGGGATTTGCGTGAGGAGGCAAAGCAGAACATGGAACAGCAGCAGCAGCAGCAGCAGCAACTGGTGTCGTTGCAGCAGCAGGTGCACCAGCAACAGCAGAGACAGCAGCAATTCCTCCAGCAACAGGAGCAGATGCTAGCGCAGCTAACAACAATTACAAATCAGATATCAGTTCTCTCCTCACAAACAGCTGCAGCAGCAGCTCCTCGTCAGCTCTGCGACCGCTTGCCGGCTGCTGGAGAGGACCCTCTGGCTGTACATGGAATAGCAGCAGCTGCTGCCGCAGCTGCTGCGGCTGCAGAGAGAGAAGTTTCAGTACAATTTGCAACACGCCTCGAGGCTGTCCTTGCAGAAGATAAGATCGATGAGGCATTTGGCTTGGCTATATCGGCAGACCTTGAGAAAGAGACGAGGGGATTTTGGGTCAACTTTGTTTGCAAACAGCTCAATACTGATAGAGTATTCGATTCTGACACTCCTCTCCTTGGACAGGCGGCGCTTCTCGGAGTCGGAAAAGGTGCCAACCATCCACCTGCTAGGGTGGCTGCTGTTGCTTCTGTTGCATGTCTTGTTGATTGGGCTCACTGTTGCTCAGCTGTTTGTCTCAGTTTCTGTTTTTTTAATTGTTCCACTCATTTTCGTTAGTGTATTTCTGTCGTTGCTTAATTTTTTATGTGTTCGATGTTGTGTGCCGCCGTTGGTTTTGCTCAAGTTCTCATTCTTGTTCATGGCCTGCAGGCTTTCTGGCAAATTATACAGATATGCGTGCCATATGCTCCGGCAGAGATATTTTTCTAGTATATTAGGGCATTACCTTAACAATGCCTTACAATTACCGATCTGTGTAACATCAGAAGTACTTGTGGGCGTGTAACGGCCAGTCGTTCCTGTTTGCTTTCCTTAAAATTGTGTCGCGGCTTCACCATCGTACATAGGGGCAACGTGGTACCACGTGTTCTTTCGTAGTTCATCGAGTGAAAAATGAATATCGACACTCATTGGCATAAAGGACTGACGGAATAGTTGCAAAACAGCTGGGAGGAAAATGCTCCGTGGCTGTGAATGGTTGAGCAAAGCGCAATTTCATCTTAGCGCTCACAGACCCCCTATCGAAGCCTCACGAAATTTCGCACTTCACAAATTAGCGCTCATGGAATACCTAACGTCTCAAATTTATACGCATGAGACATTTTCCACGGAACGAAGACCAATTTTATTAGCGTAGAAGGAAAAGGGACTGGAAGGTCCAAATATTCAAGCGGCTAGTATATATATATATATATATA